AAGTTCAATTATAATTACACATTGCGCTAAATTTTTCCTCTTTCATAAGTAGGCACATCTTATCTTTCATAAGTAGAAACATCTTCTATTTATCTAACAAGTTTCAATAGATATGTTGTAATAACTTTCAATACATACCCTTGAACACTTTGTCCAAGTATTTCATTTCTCTGATATCTGCGTATGTCAGTGTTCCACCATTCTGCTTGTACGTGTTTCTAATTTCTTGTCGTAGTTTATCTTGGATGTCCTGATTCTGTGCTAATTCGTACAGAGCATGTCCCATCGTCGACGACGAGGTTTCGAATCCAGCGACAAAAAAAACAAACGCTTGCGCAGTAAGCAATGAGTCGGTCAATTCTGTAAATCACAAAATTTGATTGCAAGTGCCGATTGCTGCAAATGAAACATGTAATATATCACAAATTATAATATATAATGTCATTTAGAATTTCGTGGTCAAAGATATTGTAAAATAGATTTAAATTATGCGACGATTTGAAATTCGAAAATACTGATTTCAACTGTTTTATCAACTAATTTATTATAAGAAAATAGATTATGGATTATCAAATTTCGGAGTATTTTCTTGTTAGTTTGACCTTTGAATTTGAAATTCTCACTAAAGGAATAGACAATTGTGTGAAAAAGTTCGATTAGAAAAGATCATGAACAGTAGAATTATCGATAGTGATCGACTGAGGATTTCAATTCTAATTATTATTTCATAATGGATGAAATATATCGAAATACATCCAGAAAATTAGAGTGATATTATTTTGAAGGAATGTGTTAGAGTGATATTAGTTTTAAGCAATGCGAGCAACTTGTAAATAATTTTATTTGCAGTAATCAGGTACTTTCTACGATCTGGTTTCTTTAATGATATAATATGAATGCGCAAAGAGTATTGTTGGGTTCTCTACTATAGTAACTTATTTTGGATCACCAAGATTTTGTATTTCGTATTAAATTTCATATTGTGACAGATATTAATAATGGAATTGAATTTAGTAAAAAATTCCAAAACCAGGCGATTTATTTACATTTCTATCGACTTCATTTTCAGTAATATCAGTAAAGGA